GGTTCATTGGAGATAAGAATTTCATGAATGTTTCTGCCCAGGCTGGCTTTGAACAGCAGTCTTTAGCTCTCAGCCTTCTTAGTAGCATGAGCCACCTGCTCCTGGATGATGGCTACAATTTTGATGAAATGAACTTTGAAATGTGTCTTTAAAGTAAATAAAAACAAATAGCCAGAGTAAGGACAGGATTAGATCCGGACCCAGGGTTGGTCTCAGCTGACTGTGGAGATATAGATCTAAATATAGATATGAAATTTAGGATTATTAGTATTATTACTGCAATTTTCCCCTTGCAGATGATGTTTTCCAAATTAAACTCCTTTCAGGTGGAAACCTGTGTTAGTTATTCAAGGAGTCATAGGAATAAATAGTGTCTAAATTGAAGTGTGTGGGATTTTGCTTGATCTCCAGAGATGTTAGAACACTTAAAATTTGAATTGAAGAAGTTGAATTCCAAGAGCATTTCCTACTACATTTGCCTCAAATCCAACAATAAGCTTGTCTTTCTGTCCTCACTTGGTTAATGATAATAGCAGACAGCTCAGCTACAAGAAGCTAGGCATGTTATTTATCTTTATGGGACTACTGATATATGTGTAGCACTTCTTACCTGATAGTTACTATTGTAAATGTGCCCAAGCTGACGGAGCACTGTCTGAGAAATTAACTCTAGCTAATCCTAGGAGATCTACCAATTTCCCCCCAATAACAATGATCATATATATCCCCACTAAATTAAATCCCCAGCAATTGGGATTTGATGGGGATATGATAATTGAGGTTGTTTTCCATTTAGATGGAATGTTGCAGCAGCTTTTTGAAGAGTTACTGAGTAATATGCAGGAAGATAGTAGTTTTTTAGTTTATGCAAATATTCAGTGTAGTATGATAAATTATTTGTTGTGGAAATGTTTATAATACTAGATAACCCTGAAATATGGCTGTATATTTTTTATTGGTAAAATTTAATTTTGTGGGCTTTTTGACACCAATTAGCTAACTGTACAAGGGGTAAACTCAGCAGTTTTCTATTTCCATTGTTGCCATCCAAATCTGTTTTATATTTAATTCTGACACTAGATGACTAGATGACTGGTAGCTTAAAACAGTTGCCCAGGTTTACATAAGCATTTCATATTGGCATGAGAACTGATAGGAAAGTGACATTGGCCTGGCTCTGCTTGTCTTTTTTTTTTTTGGTTGGTTGTGGGGCCTGAACTCTGGGCCTGGGCGCTGTCCCTCAGCTCTTCAGCTCAAGGTGAGCGCTCTACTGCTTGAGCCACAGTGGCACTTCTGGTTTTCTAGTGGTTTATTGGAAATAAAGAGTCTCACGGACTTTCCTGCCCGGGCTGCCTTTGAACCGTGATCCTCAGAACTCAGCCTCCTGAGTAGCTAGGATTAGAGGTATGAGCCACCGGCGCCTGGCTCTGCTTGTCTTATATGTTGTTCTGTAGGCTTAATTAAGCAATTTTGTTGTTGTTGTAATTATTATAACAGAATTGCATTTAAGCTTTTAATTCAAATTCTTCTGGGTAGAATCCTGAGTACTCATGTGTACCTTGTCTCTTGGGGAACTGGAATCTAAATCTAATTTGGTTCATGCACTGGGGGAGTTTGTGGGTACGTGAGAGGTCATGATTGGCTGTGCTGGTGGGACCTCCCAGGTGTGTATGAATCTCTAACCTTTTTAAAAAGTTGAGGTCACTTTGCTGATTGTATAATGGATTTAACTCTTTGAGGAAATGGGAAATCTTTATTAACCTTGAATAGATAATGATTGGAAAATATACTTTTATTTATATAGAGTTGTTTGGGTTTTTTTTTTTTTTTTGATGCTGGTATTAGGGCTTGAACTAAGGTCCTCATGCTTTTGCTCTGCTTTTTTACTCAGGTGGTGCTCTACCACTTGAGCCATACCTGTATTTGTGCCTTTTTGCTAGGTAGTTGAAGATAAGGGTCTTGTGAATTTGTCTTCCCTAGCCACCTTGGAACCTTGATCCTCAGGTCTCAGCCTCCTGAGTAGCTAGGATGATAGTTGGAAGCCACAGGTGCCATTTCTTTTTGTTTTCTACTGCTAAGAAAAATTTGTAAGTTACAAGATATGTTCCAACTTGTAGTATTATTTAAGAGAAACAAATTCTCACAATGAGCGATAAATTACTTTGAGAATTTATAATGTAATGTTGAATTTGCAGTAATTGAATGTTGTGATTCTATAGTGTTATCTTTATTTCATTTCCTGTTTTCCCCCTCTCTCTATCTCTCCTTTATTTCTCTGGCTGGTACAAGGGCTTAAACTCACAGCTGATGCTTGACCACTTGACCTACATCTCCAGTTCCTGATTAATTTATATTTTCTAGACAGGGTTTCACTATATTGCATAGCTGATCTCAAACTCCTAGGCTTACATGAACCTCCTTTCTCAGCTTCCCAAATATCTAGTACACAAAGGTATACTACTACATCAGTTGAGAGAATTTTTAAAATATTTAAATATTTAAAGTAGCAAGATTGATGATGAACTTTTCAATATTAAATTAAGTACAAAATCAACCTAAAGGATACAGTCTGATGGATTTGATCAAGTATATTTGTATCCTGAAGTGAATTTCTCTGATAAGATTCCTTTGGGGCATTACTTACAGAGTTACTTTTGATGTTGGGTTTAGAGAGAAGTTTTTAATGTGTTGTGGTCTTTTTCTGTTCTTTAAATATACTTTTCAGGATCAAATAGTTTCCTATGTTTGCTAGGAAAATATTGATTTGGTATAATTGATCAATAAAATTATATGTAAGGTTAATTATCTATGTAACAAGTATTCATTAAACACCTATGTGCTGATCATTTGGCGAATTCCTAAAAGGTGAGAATTCTGACACCTCTTTCCAAGAGCCTGTTTCCTAGTTGGGAATAAAACAAACACACATTAAACTACAAGCAGGAGTGCATATTTGATTGCCAACCTGAGGGATGAAAGAATCCAAGGCAAGGAGTTACTTGTGTTAAATGGAAAGGTGATAGGATGTTGGAATTTCACTTGGTAGGATGACTAGACCATGGTTGTTGAGGAGATCAGAGATAAGCCGTTCAGGCAGGTAGAACTGAGAAAGAAATGCTTACTGAGTTTAGAAGCCAGGGATTAGATTATACTAGTCCAGGAGCTCCTGGTGAGAAGTATGAGAGTGAGATAAAATGGGAATCTGGTAGTTCCAGGAATGATGGTAGTATGCATCTATAATTCCAACTACTCAAGAGCCTGGAGGTTGAGAAGATTGAAATCTGAAGCTTCCCAGGGAAAAGTGAGAGATTACCTGATAAATTCAAGCCAAAAAGAGATGGAAGCATGGTTCCATTGGTAAAGCATTTGCCTACTAATGACAAAGCCTTGTCTTGTCTTCAATATTTCCAAAAAGAGAGATCATTCCCAAGCCAACAAGTTTATATATTAACTGAAGTCCCTGGGAGTTATTGGAGTTTGTTGTAGGATAGGAAAGTAGATATGCCAGGAACATATGTTTAGTCATACTGAACAGACTCAATGTTGAGGCACAGTAGAAAAAGACAGGTGGTATGAAGAACATTTTAGAATACCAAACAGTCAAATGTGAAAATGTGGCTTGAAGAAATTCGAGTAAGATAGTAATCTTATAAAAAGAATGTAGAGCATTTAGTGGCTGAATAAATTGGAGAGTAAAGGAGACAAAATTTCTGTATTATTTTATGGTCTAGTATTCTTAATGGAAATAGGAAAATGGACAAGATAATCGATCTGAGGGCAAATAATAATGTTCAAGGTTTTTACACACCCAGTTTGGAATATAATGGGCATCTGTGTTGAGAACCCATATACCTTAAGTGTAGGGTTGGGTGATGGAGTTCTGTTATGTTCTTGGGGTAAAATGGCATTATCTCAGTGTTTGAATAAAAACCTATTTCATTGGAAGACACTTTTGCATGTTTTATTATTTTTCACTTCGTAAACTTTTAAGAGGTACTTCAACTACTTAAAGATAATAATAAGAGACCAAAACGAAAAAAAAAAAAGCACTTTGAAACAATGAAAACCTCTTTGAATTGGTGGGAAATTCAAGCTCAGCCATTATTCCTTTCTTGCCTCCTGCTCTCCAGTCTCCACATAAGTTTCATAAAGGCCTTGAGGCCTCACATGGACACTCATGGACTCTATTTAGATGTAGGCTCAGCTGCTTTGAAAGTCCTCAGAGCCCTTATGTGCCGTGTCCAGGCTTCTAGTCACTGCTTTGAGCTCCCTTCCTTCCAATGCATTTTTACCTTCCCAGGATACTCATGGCTCCCTGTAGCTTTCTGATCTGTAGTACTTCTTAGCCAAGAGGAGTACTTCTTTTTCAATATACTCCAAGATACCCCTACTTTCTAATTTCCTTAAATGATCTTAGCTTTTACAAATGTTCCATGGAATCATTGGATTTGAGTAACTTGGACTTTCTGCTCAGCATAAGTTACTGAGGCAAAGAAATACCATGAGATTGGTGATATGTTTGAAATGTGAAGGGAAAACTAGAGAAATAGCAAACATAATTTCCAATAAATAATTGCCACACAAATTTAAGCCTTGTTCTACATGGCTGCCTTGGGAATCTTTGAACACTCACCCACAGGTATTCCAAGATGCCATCTATTGATGCAGCCTAGAATCTGGTCAGCTCCTGATTTAGAATGGTTTACATACATGTTTCCTTCTTGTCTTTTATTATTTCCCAGATGGAGATCAGATTGAGCCAGTACATTTGAGTATTGGTAGCTGAGGGATTAACTAATTTGATTTATGAATTCACCATAGATAAACCAGAGGCACGATCCCCTCCCCTCCCCCATTTCTGAATAATAGAGACTTTATTGAGACTCATTTTCATGATGGTCTGCTTGATTTCATTTAAAAGGAGAACTAAAACAAGGTAACTAGTGGAATTTTGCCTGTCTGTACCAGTAGGAATTCATGTAGTTCTTGTTTATTCACAGGTCATGAATGCGTATATGACAACTACCTTGAAATACCTTTGGAAGACATGCCAGATGCAGATAGGGTAGCTGGCACTCCCTCCCTGATTCAAGAACCATGTTCTCCAGCCACGTCCAGTGAAGCATTCACTCCCAAAGAGGGCTCTCCTTACCAAGCTCCCATCTACATCCCTGATGACATCCCCATCCCTGCTGAATTTGAACTTCGAGAGTCAACTATGCCTGGTGTGGGCCTAGGAATATGGACCAAAAGGAAGATTGAAGTAGGTGAAAAGTTTGGGCCTTATGTGGGAGAACAGACATCAAAACTGAAAGACCCAAGTTATGGATGGGAGGTAAGAGCACACTTTTGAGTTTTTAGTACACACGTATTCAGATCTGTACTGAAGAGATTTAAGTGGTCTTAATATAAGCAAATTCCATTTGATGGAAATCAATCTTTAAGAATGAATTTCCTTATGGTTACACTTCTTTTTTCACTGTTACCATTAAAGTAATAACAACAATAAACAACTTTTTAAAGGTAATAATAACAATGTGACTTCTGATTTTCTAAAATTTTGTAATTATCATCTTTAAGGAGTTGTACAAAGGAGTTGCCATTTAACAAAGCAGTGAATATAATACATCTTGATCAATGTTACTTCTTTTAACATTCTTGCTCATCCCTCCCTTTCCCATTCCTTCTCTCACTCTTCTTAATTTTGTAGGATATACATTGGATTCTTGTCTGCATTTTCCTTCTCTTCTCTTCATTTACTCCTAACCCCTTCAATCTACTCTGTCACTATTAAGTATCTGCTTCCTGGTGTTTTATTTTGATGAATTTTGATTTTGACTTTCTAAGGAATTACCGTTATTTGAGAGTATGCAAATATATACAAATGATCTCACTTCTTGATTGGAACAATGTACTGTTTAATTACTATTATAGCAGAATAGTAGGGAACTCAACCTAAAGAATAGTCAGTGAATCACAATGAATCATCAACTTAAACCTGGAGAAAGGAAACATTGTTGTGTTTTTGTTAACATTTAGAAATGTTGGGCACAATCAATAACATGTAACATTAGCAAACAAACTATATTTTAGGGCATGCTTCTTGTGTTATCATTTATGGGGAAGAAAAGATTAAGATGATTGGAAAAAAATACTTGTTTGCTCCACTTTTGTGATGGACAGTTAATTTGGTCTTACTTTCAGCCTACATTTTCATTTTGTAGTATCTATTTTTATGTTTTGTCTCTTCTTTAAATAAAATAAATCTTTTTTCAATTTTATATGCTTCTAGAATATGCTTCTAGAACATATGCATCAAGAATGTACACATGTAGAATGTGTGTTTCTAGAATGTATGCTTCTAGAATGTGCTTCTAGAATGTATTCCCTTATCACTAAAGTCCGTGGTGATCCTAGGTTTAATTGAATGAATAATTCATGCATAAACATAATAACACAAGATGGTTATAAAAATTAATCACTGGCTTCAGCCATACTTTTCAAAGTGCCCATCTGGCTATATCTAAGAATTCATGATATGATTACAAACTCTAAATTAATTTTATTTTAATAAGGACAAGTGACATTCTTCTGAGTTTGTAACTTCTGTACATATTTAGTTCATATATATACATATACTTTAACATTTATTTTGACTACTTGATAAATTTTGTTACTAAATTATACCATTATAGTCTGGAAAATCTTGTCTAGAGCAGAAAAATTTGTAGGCACCTCTTCCTGAGTTAAAAAGTATTTTTGGATGAGATTGGCTTTTGGTTTCCTAGTATTTCAGTGAGACAGAAATCAGATAAAGTAGATTTATTTTGTTATGTTCTCTTAATATTTATGACCATTAATAGAATATTTGGTGAGTTTTAAAATAGAAATAAATATGCACTACCTTCAGGACTTAATTTCAACTTTTGTCTCCTGTCTTATATATGTTCCCTTGTGAATCTGTTCAAAATGCCATAATAAAAAAAATTCTTGTTCAAATTCTGAAATGCCAATAGTTAAGATGCCAATAGTTAAGTGAGAAATCTTTCCTTAGTTTTGATTTTGGTCTCAGTCCCACTAACATTGTGGCTTATCTACATTGCCTTTTATACATGTATTGATAAGAGATTTTTAAAACTCACTGTAGCATTAACTGATATGTGAGTGGAATACATTTTAAGCCAAATGTGTCCCAACTTTACGTCATTATTATTCACCTCAAAATAATGGCTATAAACATTCTAATAATAAGTAACTCATTAAATTTTTATTATGAAGTCGCTAAACAACAAGTGCAGTATTGGGCAAAATTATCCTGAAGGCTTGGAAGAAACCAAGCTTAATAATAAAAATCATTTTGCAAATACAAGGTAGGTAAAGGCAGGACTGCTGCTCTCTAATCCAAAAGCCTCTGGATTGGTTGATGAGTCTGAGGGTAAGGAATCTACATTTAGAGGGAATTTAAAAGTAGTAATTTTTTCTCTTTGGAATAAAATGTCTTCAACAAGTGCATGAGCAATATTTGTCTTGAGAAACAGAAAAATTATTTCTTTTATTATGTTAAAGGCAAGTTGTTTTCCTTACTTGGAGTTCAAGATGCTTTTGTAAAAGCTCTCTCTCTCTCTTTCTCTTTCTCCTTCTAGAATTCAGCTAATGGTTAATTCATTAGAGTTCATTAGCATTTTAATGGTATCCTTTTTATTTTTTAATTCAATTTTATTTTGTTGTAAGGGTGCTGTACAGAGGGGTTACAGTTACATAAGTAATGTGTACATTTCTTGTCAAACAGTGTTACCCACTCCTTCATTTTTCTCCCTATCCTTCCACTCCACTCCTCCTCCCCGCTGCCCACCTGAAGTTGTACAGTTCATTTCCAACATAGTGTTTTATGAGTATTGCTGTTGCATTGATTCACCCTTTGTCCGTGTTTTACCATTTTGTTATTCCCCTTCTGTTCCTCAAATCAGATAAATATATCTACAAGTCACAGGATACCAGAATCAAAAACAGTGACTAGTGGGGATAAGCCAAAGGGAACAAGATAAAAAATAAATAAAAAGAAAGATTTTTAAAAATCTTTTTATAGTACTCTCACTTTTGACAATGTAGGTTGCTTGGTCTGGAGGTAGTGAACAATCTAGAGAAAGGCTTTTCTTGATTTTGATAAAGGTTAACGAGCAGATGGATTCTTGACTCTATTTAGTTTTCCTTTTCTTTTTTTTTTTTAAAAAACACTAAAAACCTCAACCTTAGTTAATATAAAATCCAATCATGAGAAGGAAACGGAAACAACAAAATGATGAGACAAAAGACCAAGGGGGAACCAATGCCACAGCGATACTCACAAGACACTATGTTGGAAATGATCTGTACAACTTGGTGCGGTGGGGATAGAGGGAAGAAAAGAGAGAGAAAAATGAGGGAAGGGGTAACAAGTTAGACAGGAAATGTAATCACTACCTTCCTTAGTAACTGTCGCCTCTCTGTACATCACCTTGACAGTAAAATTAAAAAAAAATCCAATCATGATCAAAGGCTCTTTCACAAGATGTCTTACCACACTTCTGCATGCTCACTTTTAACTGTCCTCAAGTCATAATTTGCTTGAACTATATCTCACTTGGCTACATAAATCATTTTGATCTAATGCCAGTGACTTCTCTTTTAATATTTATTTATTAATTTATTATTTATTTATTGGTATCAATACTAGGGCTTTAACTGAGGGCCTGGCACTGTTCTTTAGCTTCCCAAGGCTGGTTCTCTACCATTTGAGCCACAGCTCCACATTTGGCTCTTTGGTAGTTAATTGGAGATAAGAGTCTCCTGGACTTCTCTGCCTTGTCTGGCTTTGGATCATGACCTTCAGAGCTTAGGCTCCTGAGTAGCTAGGTCTACAGGTGTGAGTCACCAGCATCCAGGTCTACTTTACTTTTTAAAATGATAAATTGAAAGAGAGAATAAACACCCTCTGAAAGAGGGTCAAGGTGTGAGAGTTCAAGTAGGTCCAGAGAAAAATCAAGACTAACCTTAGCCACTAATCATGTGACATTACCCAAATTTGATTGGGCTCAGCTTTTTTACTCCACCAATAGGTCAACAATAATTTCTCCACATCATCAGTTATAAAACAGAAGTAAGTAAAGGAATATGATAATCTCTCAAACACAGTATTTCAAGAGTAATACTGAAGGTGACTTTATAGTTATGGGCTCTTTTCTAAAACCTATTCAAGTATTTTTAACAGGTTTACTAGTTTTTTCAAATAAAGTACTTTGAAAAAATTCTTGGTTTGTATTTTAGAGAAGTAGGAATTTTTCAAAGATATGATTTATCAGCTAAAATATAGTTAGGTTAAAATAAGACATCGATGTTTTAAGCACTAGTATCCATTTGATAAAGAGGAACCTTAAACATAATATTAGATAGTGATTATCACCTTAGAGTGTGTTTCACTTTATCATGTACTTTGGATAAAATTCTACATTGCGTGTTAGAACTTAGCACATAGCTGCCAAAAGAACTCAATATTAACTACAAAAACATAACTTGGCTAAGATATAGATCTAGCAGTGGGTCATTGCACTAGACAAAGGCTAATTATAATTAAATTTGCAGATTGATTTTTCTAAATTACTCCTCTTTCCCTCACTTCTTGTTTCCTCCAAGTTCAATTGTCTCTGGAATGGTCTAAGTGATCTTATTTGAAAAGGAAGCAGCAAATCTTTCCTAATTAACATTGAAAACAGAGATTCAGGAGAGATTCATAAACTGCTTTTTAAGTCAAAGAGCAATCTGTATGGAGTAGTTTGTAATAGTCTGAGATAAGTCATTGGAAAAATTGTATTAAGTTTTGTTAAAATATTTTCATGAGTGTTATTTATTTACCTCTCTTTATCTTAGGTTATCATAAACACTTGCAGGTCAGACGTTCATGGCAGTTGATGATAATCTAGCTACTGTGTGCCAACTCCTTTGTTATAGATATCCCATTCAGAATGGCTCCCAATTATTTCGATCATTTAAAAATATCAACTATGAACGAGGGACCAGGTAGTTCATGCCTGTATTCCTAGCTACTCAGGAGGCTGGGATTTGAGGATTGTAGTTTGAAGCCAGCTCGGGCAGAAAAGTCTCTGTGAGACTCTTATCTCCAATTAAAAAAAAAAAAAACTACTCCAAAAATTTGGAAGTGATGCTGTGGCTCAACTGGTAGTGTGCTAGCTTTGGAGGCTCAGGGGCAGTGCCCAGGACCTGAGTTCAAGTCACAGGACCGGCAAAAAAAAACAAACAAGAAGAACCCAACCAAGTAAGAACTTAGTGTGTTTCTTCTCC